CTTTGTACTTCAAATTAATAATGATTCACTTCATACTGTGGGAGACAGATTCAGATCATGAATAAAAATAATTATAATGAGTTCTAAATGGGCATCCTTATTCAAATCTAGTAACTTTTATATTTTCTTCCTGTAAATGTTAATTGATTTCAGTCATTAAAATTTGGCATCTTAGGATTAGTTGGACTAAAATGTGTAGTATTTTTTATTTTATGTATTTCATAGTATATTTTATGCTATGAATGCATGTAAATGTGAGTATAGTTGCCTGTAAAAATATCAATTGAATTTTTTATGAATGAAATATATATCTTGTATTGTTTCCAGAGAGAGAGTGAGAGATTGATTCACACATGATTTTCTTCACATGGAGGATTTTTTTTTTTTTTTTTTTTGAGACAGAGTCTCGCTTTGTTGCCCAGGCTAGAGTGAGTGCCGTGGCGTCAGCCTAGCTCACAGCAACCTCAAACTCCTGGGCTCAAGTGATCCTCCTGCCTCAGCCTCCCAAGTAGCTGGGACTACAGGCATGCACCACCATGCCCGGCTAATTTTTTGTATATATATTAGTTGGCCAATTAATTTCTTTCTATTTATAGTAGAGACGGGGTCTCGCTCTTGCTCAGGCTGGTTTCGAACTCCTGACCTCGAGCAATCCGCCCGCCTCGGCCTCCCAGAGAGCTAGGATTACAGGCGTGAGCCACCGCGCCCGGCCGGATTTTTTTATTTTATTTTTTGAGACAAAGTACTTGCTCTGTTGCCTGGGCTAGAGTGCCATGGCATCAGGCTAGCTCATAGCAACCTCAAACTCCTGGCCTCAGGTGATCCTCCTGCCTCAGCTTCTCAAAGTAGCTGGGACTACAGGCATGCACCACCGGCTAATTTTTTCTATATATATTTTTAGTTGGCCAATTTATTTCTTTCTATTTTTAGTAGAGACGGGGTCTTGCTCTTGCTCAGGCTGGTTTTGAACTCCTGACCTTAAGCAATCCTCCCACCTCGGCCTCCCAGAGTGCTAGGATTACAGGTGTGAGCCATCACGCCTGGCCACACAAAGGAATTTTATTTCAGAAATATCTTATAGTTAAATAAAACCATTGAAATTGAAGCACATTTCTCATTTGAGGTATCTGGGTAATATCAGTGTTAAATGTTTCTCAAAAAATGTTCCGTATATGAAAAAAAATACAAAAAATTAGCTAGGCAACTAAAAATAGGAAAAATTAGCTGGGTGTGGTGATGCACACCTGTAGTCCCAGCTACTTGGGTGGTTGAGGCAGGAGGATTACTTGAGACCAGGAGTTTGAGGTTGCTGTGAGCTAGGCTGACACCATGACATTGTAGCCCAGGTGACAGAGCAAGATTCTGTCTCAAAAAAAGAGAGAAAAGAAATAGAAATATGCAGTGGTATATGACTTTCAAACATTTATTATTTCAAATAAAAAAACATATGTTAATTTTTGTTTGAGATTTTGCCCAAGATTCATATTTATGTAGTGTCTGCAATGCCAAGTGCTAGCATGAGAGGTAATAGTCAGCCTCTTCAGATATTCCCCAATAGCCAGATGCTTGACATTTTGAAGGAACATATCCATATTATTATGGGGTATGTTTTTCAAACAGTGATAGGAAAACTGGCATCCTACTATGATATAGGGAAAAGTGAGTGTGTAGATTGCTCTAGAGTTTATCAATTTGTTTACAATTTTGTTTACTTCCCCACTAATTTTCTTTCCATTTAGAAACTAATTTCCACTCATGGATAAAAAGAAAGTTAACATTGTTTAAATTGAATCACTAATAAGATATAGTGTTTTTGTTAAAAATAAGTGCAATCTCCACTCCCAGAGGTGAGTTTGAAAACACATTTCCAGGAAATTTGTGCATTTCCATGAAATACTATTTTGTGAAAAATCTGTGATAATCCTGGAGGAAATTTACAAAACTAAGTTTTCTTCTGGGCAAAAGATATATTTTAGAAATAGTCTAAGAAATCATTGTTTGCTATGTACTATAAAAAGTGACATCATTCACTTAAAAAAAAGTCTCAGAGTGCATTTGGGTAATAGAATCCAGACAAGTTCAGAGTGTCCTTTTTTTCTTTCTTAGCTATATCTAATGTTAAAGAAGAGTGTCCTTTTTCCAGAATGTCATATATTTAGAATAAAAGAAAAAGAAAGGGAAAGTATTTTAAATTAAAAAAAAGAGTATCCTTAATTATCTCTAGAAAATGGCAGATGTTTAATAAATATTGATGACTGAAAATGAGAATTCTTACTCTGCTCTTTGTGAATGCAGTGATATTATTTTCCACACTGTCATCTTTGCCATGGAATACATATTTTTTGTTACAAATTTTAATTTTAATTTAGCTCTTACGAAAAACTATTATTGTAAGAGCTACTAGAATACAAAAGGCCTATTCAAATATTCATATTAAGTATTCTGGCAACCAAAATATAACAAAGAAAATGGCAAAACAAAATTTCTGTTTTAGAGATGATTAAATAGATGGTACACATTTGCAATTAGTAATATACATATAAAATACTATTTCAGGTGAGCTGCAAGAGGTGGGCATGTTCTGGCAAAAAACCTTTCAGTTAGCTGATGTTGAACTTATTTGTGTAATTAAACTCCTCAGGGAAAGACTACTTTTGCATGAAATTCAGGAACTTATACCTGCAAGCTTCTTCTCAGAATTGCTAATTGTATTGGTTGGTTTTTAAATTATATATCTTTAGAAATTAAGTATACAACCATAAGTGAAAAATTTCCAATTAAGTTATTAAAGTATTGTGTGTCGTTATTAGGTTTTCATAGAATCCAATGATTTTAAAATGGAATTTGAGAGTGATGAAAAAAACAGAATCAGTATATGGGGGAGAAAAACATCCTCCCCAGTGTCACAATATAATAAGCAGAAAGCTTCAGAATTTCACAAAAAGTACAGACACATTAATATTAAAGTTCTGTTAAAAATAAGAACCAAGAAAAAAATTCTGAAAAGCAAGGGAATTCTGCAAAGGATTTTACAAAATCAGTCAAATTCAAGAAGTATAACAAAGTAAATCTTAAGCTGTTGCTAAAGTGCTTAGCTAGCAGAATAAACCTATTTCATTTTCTTTCTTGCAGCTCACAATCCCTTTTATAGGTTGTGAAGCAAAAGCAGAAAGCTTCAGGAGGTCTTGGGAAATGACACAAATTGGGTTAAGTATGACTTTTAGGAAACCTAATCTGCTTCCACTAGATAAGGTTTTCCATACTTGTTGCAAGTCATATTAATTTGTGGACTGAATTGCTCCACCTTCACTTTAGAGTCTGATGGATATAATCAATGCATGTAAAGAATTTCAGGTGACTTCCAGACCAGCAATGTCCCAATGGAACTTTCTGTGATGAGTTAAATGTTCTATATCTCCTTTTTTTGTCTAATATAGTAGCCACTGGCCATTTGTGGCTATTGAGCACTTGAAATGTGGATAGTGGGATGGATCAACTAAATTTTAAATTGTATTTCATTTTAATTAATTCAAATGTAAGTGGCCTCATGTGGCCAGTGACTATCATATTGGACATTGCAGTTCTACATCTGCTCTATTCCTTTAACTGAAGGCTTCAGATGTCATTTCACTACATATTCTGGGGTTTCTGGTTTTATATATCACCCAAGTCTTTTAGATTCCCCAGGGATAGGTGACCATATAATTAGCTGGTCTCCCTAGCCACATGGTTTGCTGCTTGAGGGCTCCGCTGGAAAGTAGCTGGACTTCACTTCTTTCTAGGTTGCTGTTACAGATAATGTTTATGTATCTTCTGCAGTGGTCCCCAACGTTTTTGACACCAGAGACAGATTTCATGGGAGACAATTTTTCCATGCACCAAGGTTGGAGGGAATGGCGAGTGATGGGGAGTGGCTGTAAATACAGATGAAGCTTTACTCTTTTGTCCACTGCTCACCTCCTGCTGTACCACCCAGTTCCTAATAGGTCTCAAATCAGTACTGGTCTATAGCCCGGAAGTTGAAGACCACAGTTCTAGAGTACACATACTTTCACCATATTCTTATTTTTCTTTGTCCCCGCAAACATTTGCCAAAATCTTTATAACTTATTTCTGCTTTCCCAGTGACTCCCAACCATAGAGTAAAGCAATGTCTAGCATCATGCTAGATGACCAACTAAAAATATAAGTCAATGATCAATCATACTGATATTTGAGATTAGACTAAGCATCTGAATAGCTAAATTGGGTTGGATATTTTAAACTTTCCTGTCACTTTTTGGGAAGAGGCAGAAAGAGCCCAAAAGATCAGAGGTTTTTGTTTCTTTTTATTTGCAACATAGTCACTCAGCAGTCCCTGACAGATGCAAATTCTTTCAAAGGGGTTAAACTGGGCAGGCTGAGCATGCAGCAGTTCATTTAGTACACATTGTAAATATTTTTTTTTGTGTGGGAGGGTCTTGGAAATATAAATTTAAGTTGCTCTGAGTACTGTCTTAGCTCTCCACTCTCCGCCATCAGTAGAGAAAGCATATTAACATCAGCCTTTAACAAGGACATTTCAGAGGTTAGGACTAAGTCACTGCAAAGTACTTTGGGTTTCCCATTTTGAGAACTCAACCTGCTTTAAGATAACCTACAAGGCCTTTTCTTTGGTATAAAATACTGTAAGAACATAGATTGGACAATCGAGTCATAAAAATAATATAAAAAAATCCAATTGCATCAATAAACTAAATGTCCTTAAAGCAGCAAATACACATGACCGGCCAGTACTACTGGCTTTTCACATCCCACCCACCTTGTATAATATACTTTGTGTTGAACACAGTACAGTTTCATAGTAAAAAGTGTTGCACAGTTTAGTAGGCATACGGATGAGTGGGAAAAGGGCAAGTGGTTCTTCCAGATTTACCAGCAGAAAAAAGAACTTAGCAACACAGCGATTCAAAAAACCAGAGGTATGTCTCTGATTCATTTTGTTCAAGAGTTTCACCAACCTGATAGCTCGAATGACAGTTTTAAGAGGTGGAGTGAGGTCTTCCACTGATACATCACACTGGCATCCTTTTTCATCATACACGTCGTCAGTGCCAAGTGCTGTGTCAGCTGCAAGAGAGAATCGCCAGTTGAGTAACACCACCACCAGCAATTCGAGACACGGACGGTGCTGAATTTGTCTCACACAGGAAGGGTGGGATTATCACAGATTATGTTTATAAACCAAGATATGCATAAGGCCAGCCAACTGTTTTCCCAATATTATTCTTTCTCCCTTTTCTACAACATCGCCAGTTTTGTGTAATTTAACATGAATGCTTTTTCGAGCTGTTTTCCACGAGGAAGATGAAGCTGTTGACACTCTTGTCTTTGCCAGTAGTGGTGATAGATTTGTCTTGATCCACCTATGCTCTTTTGCCCAGTTCCTTGGACATTAACAGCCAGCATTTAAATGTCAGCTCTTTGGAGGTAGGGAAACAGTCTTTGGACATGTAACTAACTGGCCTGTGTATGTTAAGCTCGAATCCCATGACATTCACCCTATTAGCCCTCTGCCCTGAACAAGTGAGCTGAGCAGTCAGACTCGAGAAAGCTGACCACTTGTTAGCTACTGGACACAGATGGCCAAGGAGAGAGTTTGCTTAGGATACTGTAGCCAAGGCTGAGAGCAGATTTTTCATACTGAATAAGAAAATCAGTTTCTCCTAAACTGAGAGAATTTACTTTTGGGTTAATTGCAATGTTTGGAGAAGGAGGTGAGAGTATAATAAACACCAAATTATTAAGAAATTGTGAAATTCATAAGAAATAAATTCATATCATTGCCTCTTTGTTTTCAGTAACAAAATTGAGAAAACAAGTTAAAATTCCTGTGATGGGGGATGGGTTAAATGCATATTAGTTGGTTTATATAATGGAATATTAGGAAGCTTTAAAAAATGATGTTGAAGACTAATGACTGAAAAAAATGTCACAATATATTGTTAATGAAAAAAGTCTCTCTCTCTCTATATATATCTAAAATTAAGAATGATTTCATTGTTTTTGCCTATATCTTCTAAAATTTCTATAACGTACATGTATTACCTTAGTCATAAAAATAAATTAATCACAATGCTCTCATGAAAGATGAGTTATTTTGCCCCCAAATGCCATTTTTATATGGCCCAAGCCTCTTCGGTGTTGACATAGACTGGTGGGCTGATACTACTTCGTGTTGCCTTGGCTCTGTGGGGTGTCCACTTGCTAAGTCTTGAGAGGGAGAGATTTTGCTATGGGCTATCCTGGTTGGGTTCAAAATCCTGAAAGGCTATCTGAGGCTCATTCATTGAGGCAGTGCTTATATCTGGATGGCAGTTGATGTGCACCTAATAGGTACTGTGTGTTTCCCCAGTTTACTTTGTGCTAGGGTGGAGGTGGTGGGGGGAGAGACGAGGAGATCCGTGAAGATGGGTCTGCACAGCTCTACTGCAGGGCCCATTTGGCCTTCTTGCCCTCAAGGCTAGTAAAGGGGAGAGATGAAACTACCACCTAACCATAGTGATACTATTAATAAGAATAGTGCTATTGTCTGAATTTGTCCCTCAAAATTCTTACGTTGAAACTTAATCGCCAACGTGATAGTATCATATTAAGAGTGTGGGGACTTTAAAAGGTGATTAAGTCATGGGGGGGGCTCATGAATGGGATTAACAACCGTATAAAAGGGCTGGGGAGAACTAGCTAGGCCCTCTTGCCCTTCTGTCCCTTCCACCACATGAGGACACAGTGTTCTGGAGTATGCAGTATCAAGGCACTGTCCTGGAAGCAGAGACTGGGCCCTCACCAGACACTGAACCTATGGTGCCTTCGTCTTGGACTTCCATCCTCCAGAACTGTGAGAAATAAATTTCAGTTCTTTATATTAATAAATTATCCAGACTCAGGTAATTTGTTATAGCAGTGCAAACAGCGTAAGACAAATAGCAGCCACTCATTGAAATTCATGCCAGGTACTTAGGTGAAGCTTCTGCACACATTGTTTTTCATACTTAGACCAATTCTACAAGTTGGTGGTATTATGTGCAGTTTTGAGACACAGAAATTAAGGTAAATATCTTGTCTGAGGCCATGGAGGTGGTAAGTGGAGCTAGTAAATTGCAGAGCATGATATTAAAATCCACTTCCTTGAGGCTCTCCCAAGCCCATGCCATTTACATTGCATCACTCAGTGTCAGAATGAGTTCAGGGTTAAATAGTGACATATGACATGTCACAGGAGACAGGACAAAGAGCTTACTACAATGCACTGCCTGATGCGTACAGCCTGTCCCTGTGGATACATTCAGCTTCTCTCCAGAGAAGCTTGTCACCCTTTAAATGTGAGTACATTGATCAACTCTGTGTTTGATAGTTAGTTTAGACTCAGTGACGGTCTCAAGGGTTGCTGACCCGTTTTGCTTGGCTGACCACCCACCCACCCAACACAGCCCTTTTAGCCCACATTAACCATATGCCCAAGGTTAGATGACATTCTTCTAGGACTTGTTGGTGGTTTCTTCCTATTTGATCCCAACCTGCTCTTAGCTGCTGTAGTGGGATGAATATTGTCACTCCAAAATTTATGTCCAGCTGGAACATCAGAATGTGAACTTATTTGGAATAAAGCTCTTGCAGATATAATTAAGATAAGGTTGGAAATGAGATCATACTGGATTAGGGTAGACCCTAAATGCAGTGAAAGTGTCTTTTTACAAGACTGAAAAGGTGACAACCCAGGGACACAGAAAAGATGGAAGCAGAGACTGAAGTGATGCATCTACAAGCCAAGGAACACCAAGGATTGCTGGAAACCACCAGAGGCCAAGAAAGAGGCATGGGATGGTTTCCCCCTCAGTGCCTATAGAAGAAAGCAGTCAGAGTGAAGCTTTGATTTCAGACTTCTGGACTCCTGAGCTGTGGGACAATACATTTCCGTTGTTTCAAGTCACCCAATTTGTGGTAATTTGCTGTGGTAGCCCTAGGACTTAATACAGTTGGGAAAACTTTCTTCCTGGTTTCCAATTCTTCACTCCAGGATAATAATGATGAAGATAATAATAGTAATAAGAGATTTTTAAGAGAAATCTAATTATGTGTCAAGAACTTTAATTAATTGGTATAAAATCCCATGAGGTATGTATTATTACTAATATTACCCTCTGTTTTACAGGAAGTGAGGCACAGAAGGACACATGGAGAGCAAGTGACAGAACCAGAATTTAAACCCAGGCAGGTGGATTCTGGAGCTGCTTGACCCCGAATCTCGCCTCTGACCTCTTCCATAAATGCCCTTCTTGTCTCTCTTGTTGGCATCTGGGTTCCTTTCTCCTGCAGCACATGTTCCTTCACATAGCTGTGAGCACCTGGCAGGGTGTGGACCCCACAGCACTGAGAGGATCTGGTTTTGAGCAGTGTGGTCACCAGGGCCACATGTGGAGCCAGTCCATATTCAAAGGGGGCCCCGGAAGTACGCAGACCCTGGGACTTTGAGGAGGGTGTGTGGGAGTTGTGGGGGGAGGTCAGGCGCGGTGGGGGACTCATGTACAGGCTGCGTGGCTCACAGAGCTGAGACCACCAGCCGCCATATGGAGCCCTGTGAGATGCCCCGGTGTTAGTCCCCAAAGGGAATATCAAATGGTACACTTTATCAGGATTCCCAGCAAAGAATTCACAAGAGTGTTTTATGCTGTCCTCCAAAATAGGACATGTCACAGCTTTCCTTCATCTGAACCCTAACGAGAAGTACATCTAACATGATCCCACCTCGTACCTCAGAAAACTGGGGAACACTGGAGGGGTTACAAGACAGATCCAGCAAATCTATATTAATAACTTCTCTGCTTGAAAATACAGGATAGCCAACCATAACATGATGATGCAGGTCCAAGCAATTAAACAGCACACAGTACAGGGTCCTTTAATTGTGAGGTTAATGGAAAACTATTTCTTCAGCAGGTGTGTATTGTCACAATAAACACAAAAATAAAGATACTGAAACTGTAACGTTCACAACTGACTGTATACGGAAATGATCACAAGACAGTTACCTCTCAGGCTCATGCTGCACCCCTCATCCCCACGTCCTGTACCCCAGTAAGAGACTCAGTCTATCCATTCAGTTTAGGAACAGGGCTGGACAGAGGACGAGAGTCAGTCACCAATGACATCATATCCAAATGCATCTGAGTATGTGATTTTATTATAGCACTTTATAACTAGATTGTACAAGGCATACATTAAACACTCAGTTCTGTTTTTTTTTTTTTTTTGTGGTAGGTTTGTTTGGTTAGTGCAAATGAGTAGAAAATATATCTTTATTGGCAAATGTTAGCAGGGGCTGGCTTAGGGAATTTTTGTCCCCCTACTTCAAAGCCACAAAAATGGGGAGGATGCCATCTTCTTGCTTCATAAGTACAGTGAGCTCTCACTTAACATCATCTAAGTTAGCCCTCACTTAAAGTCACGGTTCATGGAAACTGTGCCTTTAGGTGATATGATGTAAAATGAAACCAATTTTACCAAAGGCTAATTGATATAAACAAGAGTTAAGTTCCTATGGCATATTTCTGGTCACAAACTTCTCAATAAAGACCTAAAACACAATTAAACAATGAAATAAATGTGAGCTATACATACATTTAAGAAAAAATAATAAAAATAAATCAGATAATTATTTACCAATTTTTGGTGAATCCATGAGTGACAGTGGTCATAGCGGTGGTGGGTTAAATCGAGGAATAAATGTGTGCAAAGCCAAAATTGTAAGGAGCACCTTCTATCACCACACAGTTTAGAAACAAAGAAGAATAAATAATGGTAGGCTTGCTGAGCACTTTCCGACCGCATGGTTTATTGTCTGCATTTGCATGATACTTGACAATTTTTATTTTACAGTAATTTGTATATTCATTCATTCATTCATTCATTCATTCATTCATTCATTCATTTTCCAACCCTCTTCAGGCTTGAGGGTGGCTGAAGCCCAATCCGGCAGCTCAGGCTGCAAAGCGGGAACCCGCCCTTAACCAGACACCATGCCGACTGTCCCATCACAGGGTGCTCACACACAGCCATACTCACTCACACTG